ATTCACAGGAAGTTAAAGAGGGAAGAACCTTAATGAGATGGATTGACACAGTGGCTGAAACAATGGGCTCAAGCATGGCAAAGATTGTGAGGATGATGCAGGACCGGGCAGGGTTTTGTTCTGTTGTGCATAGGGGTGCTATGAGTCAGAATTGACTCGATGGTACCTATAAATGACAATAAGAAGTTTAAAAAATGAACAGGGAGGTCCTACGTGCCCTTCACCCAGTTTCTCCCAATAGTAATATCTTATAATTTTACGTGCACTTGTGTGTGTGTACAGTACTTTTATGAAAAAAAAACAAAACCCTATATAGCATGTACATTATTTCCCTGAAAATATGGTAATTCTATGCAATTTTATCACGTGTTTATTTGGGTGGCCACCATCATGGTCAAGATACAGAACTATGCCCTTACCAAAGGGCTCCCTCATACTACTCCTTGACCTCCATCCGCAAGCCTTGGCAACCACTAATCTGTTCCCCATCTTTGTAATTTTGTCATTTCAAGAATGTTATCTAACTGGGATCATACAATATGTAACCCTTTGGGATGTAATCTTTTTCATTTAGCATAGTCCCTTGAGATACATCCAAGTTGTTGCATGAGTCAATATTCCATTCCTCTTTATTGCTGAGTGGTATTCCATGCTATGGATTAACCACTCACCATTGAAAGGCATCTGGTCTGTTTCTAGTTTGGGGTTATTATAAATAAAGATGCTATGAACATTTGTGTACAGGTTTTTGTGTAAACATGAATTTTAATTTCCCTGGGACAAATGCCCAGGAGTATAATTGCTAGGCTGTATCGTAGTTGCATGTTTACTTTTGTAAGATACTGCCAAAATGTTTTCCAGAGTGATTGTACCATTTTGCATTCCCATCAGCAATGTATGTGCGAACCAGTGTTTCTCCACCTCCTTGCCAGCATTTGCTGTTATGACATTTTTTTAGCCATTCTGATAGGTGTGTATCTCATTATGGTTTTAATTTGCATTTCCTCAATAACTAATGATCTTTTCATGTGCTTATTTGCCATCTGTATATCTTCTCTTGTAAGATGTCTGCTGAACATTTTTGCCTATTTTCTGATTGTATTCCTTTTATTTTCTTTTACTGTGAGTTATTTTTACATTCTATATACAAATCCTTTGTTAGATATGTATTTTGCAAACATCTTCTTCCAGTCTGTAGTTGTCTTTTTATACTTTTCACATGGTCTTTCCTAGAGCAAAAGTTTTAAATTTTGATGATATCCTAGTTGTCCAATTTATCAATTTTTCCTTTTATGAGTCCAAAAATATTTTACTTAGCTAAAGAACTGAAGATTTTGTTCTGTATTTCTTTTTTTTATAGCTTTGCACTTTACATTTATGTCTATGATCTATTTTGAGTTAATTATTGTATAAAGTGTAAAGTTTAGATTGAGATTATTTTTATTTATTTTTTGGCGATCATCCAATTTCTCCAGCACCACTTGTTGGAAAGGCTACCCTTCCTTCATTGACTGTACCTTTGTCAAAAACCATTTGTATCTATATGTGTGGGTCCATTTCAGGCTCCCAAAAATCTGCTCCACCCTGAACAAACAGCTAACCCAGAAAAACATGCTAAATCTAACTACTTCTAACTGATTTCTTGATGCTTCCATTATCCACTTTCAATTGGAATTGATAGCCTGAAACCTTATCTGTGTCTCTAGGAGATGGGAGGATGAGAGGCACTGTTTTTTATCTCATTATTCTTAGAGCTCTATTTAGAGATTCTTGTGATTCCTCTTGAACGTTATTCATGGTCTACATCAGTGGTTTTCGAATCTCTGTGTGTATATATGTTTCTCTCTTTAAACCTTCTAATTAAATGATATCTTGCTTGGAAGGTCAATGCATGAAATAGATAAAAAGTGGAGCTGTTTTAGTTGAACCAGAGGTGGCGGACTTAGTCTCACACAGCTCTGTCTTTCTTCCCATTCCCAAATGGAACACAGTTTGAAAACCACTGTTTTCATTCATGTTATAAGCAAAATGAAGGAGCCCTGGTGACACAGTGGTTAAGTATTCAGCTGCTAACCAAAATATTGGTATTTCAAACCCACCAGTGCTCTGTGGGAGAAAAGACTTCAGAATCTAACCCTGTAAAGATTATAGCCTAGTGAACTCTATGGGGCAGTTATTTCTACTCTGTCATATAAGGTCACTATGAGTTGGAACTGCCTTGATGTCACATAACAACATAAATAAGATAACAAAGAAAACTAGAAAATTTAGGGTCAGGTCCTTGGTTATTTAAGAGATCCCCTTTAATATAATAGGAGAAGATAACTTCAGTAAAATATTATCCAAAGCAATGGGAGAACATAGCTTCTTGTCGATGTAGATGAAAAAGTGGAGATGAATAAGAGGGAGAAGAATGGGGAGCATAGGGACTTATTTATCTAACAGTGAGAATATTTTTTTTTTTTTTTTTTTTTGCTGATAGAGAGCAGATAAACACTCAAGCATCTTAGAATGGCAAGAGGAATAAATTAGATTCAGAAATTTGAAGTTTTAGTCCTGGCTAATTAGTACTGTGACATTGAACAAGTCTTTGAGTCTTGGTTTCCTCGTCAATGGGACCTCTGGTGGCATGGTGTCTCAGGCATTTGATTGCTAACCAGAAGGCTGGTGGTTCAAACCCACCAGCCACTCCTCAGAAGGAAGATGGGGCAATCTACTTCTGTAGAGATACCGCCTCGGAAACCCAAGGAGGGGTCTCTTTGAGTCAAAATCAACTCAACAGCAGTGAGTTTGGGGGTTTTTTTGTTTGTTTGTTTTGTTTTTCCTCATCAATAAAACAAAAGCTTTGTATTGGACAATCTGTAAAATCTCTTCCAATTCTGCCTTCCGGTAAGATGGAGGAATAGGCAGACAAGTGACACAAACCCTCTTCAACAAAAAAAAAGAAAAACCAATTGACAGAGATACAGAAGATAATCCTGGAGCCCTGTGCTTTGAAAAGAACTACACAGAAGTGGATTAGGCACCAAGTAGTGGAAAAACCTGAACAAAAACAGTGAGTACAGAGATGGTCAGAGCTGTGGACTATCAGCTACTCTGATGGGACCAACAGCCTGAATGTTTCCAAGTGGTGTTGGGACCTGAGAATTGACCTAAAGATCAGCCCTGGTCACCAAGGGCTGCAGGGACAACTGCACAGGTGGTCTATGACTAGGAAGGGAAACAACAAGGAGGGATACAACCTGAGATGTTGACTTTCCACTGTCCAGAGGGCACAGCCATTTTGATTGTTTACAAGCAGTGCTATTTTGGATATTTAAAGTGACTGAGGGCTCAGCCATTTTGAATGTTTATAAGTGGTGGCCATTTTGGATACTTAAAGTGACCAAGGGTGCAGCCATTTTGAATGTTTACAAGTGGTAACCACTTTGGATTTTAAAGTGATACCATTCTCATTTGGATTCCAGGGACCTAAGAATAGGCTCTGCTTGCCAAGGTTGGCAGGGACATATGAGAGGCTGACAACAGGAAAGGAGACAGGTGGCTGGTGAGCATAAAAGTGCTGTCAACTAGCGAATAGAGGAGCATAGTACCCTGCTTGCATAGCCAACATACAAACAAAACAAAGAAAATGAAAATCATGGGCAAGTCACTCCAACATACAATCATCAATTAAATATAAACACGAAAGTGTCACAATGTCTCAGAGACAACAGAGTGTCATAGTCCACACAAAGAAGCAAGATAAAGCAGGAGAAACAAGGGACTGGGATATAGACCCAAAACACATCCCTGAGGAAGACGCAGCATTGGAATTCCCTGATAAGGAATTTGAAAGAATTATATTTAGGTATTTTCAATAAATTGAAAGACTGATCAAGGAAAACACAGAGAAAACCCTAGAATAATTTCAAAAGACAATACAAGAACAAAATGACAAAATAAATGAAAAA